ATTAAACTGACAGATGATGAACATCCTCCCGTGTTGGGTTACAGGAACCCCTGGTAAACAAATCTTTACAAGTGTCTGCTTGCAGGTGCAACTGTTGACTTCTGGAAGTGGAGTGGTTGAAGCAAAATGCWGCCATTGCTATCCAAGGCACTTTTCAGCATAAACAAACACACCCACGATCTTCTGACCAATCACGCAATATTTTTGCACRAGGAGGGGGGGCAAAGAGTTTGAACAAGAAGGGGCAGAAGATACTAAGCTGAGAACAAAATGATGCACTGATGGGTGAGAGCCAACTTGAACTGGTTCCAGACTTCTCCAGATAGTATCAGCTTTGTTGATTCTGTGGTTGACACTTTGCAGGAGGAGCTCAGTAAACACAGCTGCCGCCATGAGCTGGTTGTTGTCAAAGCCTTGGTTCTTGTCACCAAACCGTAGCCAGAAGTGGACGCACTGTCGGTTTTCTTCTTTATCCTTAATGGGAGCAGTGGTCAGGTTCTGGGTGCGTGCTTGGCAATCTGTTAGGAGGGCACCATGTACCAAAGTTTTATTGCTCATCTTGAATTATTATCCTCAGGAGACCGTTCTTCAAAAGAAGTCAGGGAGTGATGGCAAAGCACAGCTCATATTTATACTCCGAGAAACACGGTCTTCCAAGAACTGCTCAATGATCACACGGGTCACCCAAGGATTTCTCAATAGGGTTAGTTCCCTGGGCTTGACTTGGAACTTCTCAGGTTGACTCTACGCAGCTTCAGAGTCTGTCCAGTTGGTGGTCCAACCTACTTACAGCTCAGTTCTTAAGACCTCCACATCTGGACTGTTGAATTCAGCTCTCATTGTTGCAGATTCATGACAAAAATCACATCATTTTGTTCGCAGCTTCGAGTCTTTAACCTCTTGTCACAACCTGCCGAAAGAACTTTTCAGAGAAATTATTTTGTGAATGGTCAGAAGTTTGTGGGCGTGTTTCTTTCTGTTGAAAGCACTCGGACGCTGAATTTTGCTTTGAATTGAGTATACTGGGACCTTGGGACCTACTCGGCCAAGATTCAAAAGAAGCCGAGTTGAGCTAAAGATGTAGCATCAACAGACTGCAGGCTATTAATATAGAGTAATGTCATGAAAGCATCTTCTTTACAAAATCAAACCCACCATTTTGTTCTTATTCACTTGTTTGTCCATTGCTATGCTGCATTTGCCTTGAATAAACAAATAGTGCACAATGACGATCCTACTGTACATTGAGGTGAAAATCGAGTCACATTAGAGACTACCTAGACCACGTAGATCCGAGTAAGGTTGAAGCAAGTAGTGAGACCGGACAATGAAAAAAATGTCTAATGTCTCAATGAAGTCTCAGAGATCTCAGTCCTCTAAACATTGGTCCACATGGAGCACTTAGGTTCTCTTCAGCGAGACATTGTTGCAGTTGGTCTCTCAATGAATGAGGTCTGCACAGGTCCCCATTAAAATTGAAAATTGCTGGTCTCTCAACAAGTGTTTAAACATTTCCACAGAAAGAACTTTATGGTGGATTTTGGAGATTGGGGACAGATCTGAACAAGCTTTGGTTGCTCAATGATTGCTTAATGGTCTCTGTCTTCTGGAAGGATACTGACTGTTGTTTACTCATAATCTATCCTGTTTAACTTGTGCAATTCTATAGAAATATAAGGATAAGATCAAGTATATTCATCCAACTCAAGATAATTCATTAATAAAAATATGTCATGCTAAATGCCAGTTTATATGAACATCATTATTTAAGTTACATAAAGACCCTTTTGTCTAGGGAATGAAATGAAGGCACTGAGTTCAGATGACATGTTGTAAACAGAGCTAAATAAATTTATTTCAGGATTAAACCAGTCTGTGTGAATGTTTTCTCTCTGCCTTCCAAAGAACATATTTCCGCCCTCTTCCACCCTCTGTACCCCCGTCAGACCGGAGACATTCCCACACTCATGGTTTGATGTTTTCCTTCTTTTTTTGCCACTTCAGTAGAAAGCAGAACTGAATATCTGAATATTAGTATCTTAGCTTCTTCATCATCAATGGCTTTTTTAAAGGAGAAAAAGTAAGAGAGTAGTGAAATGTAATAGAAAAGAGTGAAAGAGAGATTAGAAGATATGTGTAATATGTAAAGAAACCACAAGACAACACACCCGACATCTTGGCTGTACACCTACAGAAACAGAGATAAAAACACAGCAACAAAAAGGCATATCTATAATTATGATTATAGCCTTGCTGAAAGGTATACATATATATAT